CCACAGCAGCACTGTCACAGCAGGAGGCAGAGAGGGAGTGCAGCAGAGAGATAGAGAAACTAAAGAAAGTATAGCAGAAGGATGGAACCGTAAGAAAACAACCTATAAGGAAGTGGTAGCAATTTAATATATTCCAGAAGATGTTGTTGGGCAGAAAGAGACATCGAATAAACCTTATCAACTTGTCTACCTGACTCTGTTGGTACCTTGTGCTACATGTGGCTAGCCCTCTGGCTCTGTACGCATCGATGACACAAGCACCGGGAAAACGCAACAAGCACAAATGTGACAAGTGAAAACAAATTATCTAACTGAGGATAGCTAGCTAGCATAATGTCACAAGCATGATGAACTCGCCAGTAACTTTAGTTAGACATGATTGGCATGCGAGCTAGCAAGCTAGCTACTGGTAGGGATTAATATTTCCCCCAAAATCTACCAAGTTTCAATACGGGGAATAATTCATATTTATTCAGAGAGTCACAGGAAATACCGCAAAAATCGGAAGTGCCCATTTAAAGCGTTTAAAACCAAGACATGGTCACTATGCCAGGGTTCTCCCAAAATAAGATTGTCACTGCGCCACGTTGCCGGCTTGGCTGCGCCACTATGTAAAGATTTCACAGCAAGTGAAACTGATATTTAGTAATAATAGAGTAACTTTGATCACCAATGACATTGTTGGGAATTGCGAAACAGGCCGTTCATAAATTCCGAGCTTTATCATGTTCCTCACTTAATTCAGTGCATTTCAGCAGTAGGCATAGGCTATCTCGACACAGAGCACGCTCAGAATGCACAGAGCGCACCCCGAGTAGGCTATAGCGTTGTTGAATCATACAAACTTTGAACGGCAGTCAAACAAAAGTCAAATGACTAAAGTTGCTAACATTGCTAGATGACCTCCAACGAATGACAGAATATCTCCTATTTGGCAAAATCGAGTTTATTATTAAACAGATAGCAGATCAGCTCATGAATTACAGGGAGATAAAGATAGGAAATTGTTTAATTATCAAGATATCTTAACAGGGACCAACTCTGTAAAAAGAAATATCCATATCTACTCTCATACCGTTTGTTGATCACATTTTACAGACGCTCTTATCCAGAGCGACTTACAGGAGCAATTAGGGTAAAGTGCTTTGCTCAAGGGAACATCGACAGATTTTTCATCTAGTCGGCTCGGGATTAGAACCAGCGACTTTTCGGTTACTGGCCCAACGCTCTTAACCACTAAGCTACCACTAAGCTACCCAATCACACATTCTCTACTGAAGCTCTCATGGGCAGCAATACGTGACAGCTCAGAGAAGCAGGGGAACTGTTATAGTGATATTTTGACATGCATAGCGCTTTGATAATAGAATAAAGTTAGGAATTTTCATGCGAGACAGGAGTCAGGATTGGGATGATAGGAAAATTGCCTAGGCTTTATATAAGGCTATACAAAACCGTATGGACACCTGCTCTTTCCATGACATTGACTAACCAGGTGAATCCAGTTGAAAGCTATGATCCCTTATTTATGTCACTTGTTAAATCCACTTCAATCAGTGTAAATGAAGGGTAGGAGACAGGTTAAAGAAGGTTTTTAAGCCTTGAAACAATTGAGGGTGAATGGGCAAGACAAAAGTTTGAAGTGCCTTTGAACGGGGTATGGTAGTAGGTGCCAGGCGCACCGGTTTCTGTCAAGAACTGCAACACTGATGGGTTTTTCAAACTCAACCGTTTCCCGTATCAAGAATGGTCCACTACCCAAAGGACCTCCAGCCAACTTGACACAACTGTGGGAAGCATTGGAGTCAATATGGGCCAGCATCCCTGTGGAACGCTTTCGACACCTTGTAGAGTCCATGCCCTGACAAATTGAGGCTGTTCTGAGGGCAAAATGGGGGGGGGGGTGCAACTCAATATTAGGAAGGTGTTCTTAATGTTTTTCACACTCAGTGTATAAGGCTACTATGTGAGTCAATAGATCAATATTACTCTTGATTTAGGCTACATTATTGCATGCTAAATGTTTCTGATCAGTGATAGATGAGCAAACGAATAAATGAGCCACCACTTCCACTTGTCCAGCCAGAGATCAATTAACCAAATATACAGACAGAGATTCAGTGAAACAAAATCACATTGATTGATTATCAGACAAGTCACGGGATTTTGGTCGGGAGTAGGACAGGCTGAAGAGCAAAATCCACTTGTATAACATGCTAGCAAAATGTTCTGATTAGCTAATATACAGTATGAGCAAACAAAAATAAAGATGATTATTAGCACTCACCTAAATGTAGCTAACATTTCCCCAGCATAAACAAAAATCTGACATTGATTGATTTATCTAGACGAGTCCCCCACGCTTGTCTCAAAACAGCGCGATGGCGCTGTCCGAATCAAAAAGGTGCTGAAATTATAATCTAGGTGACCACACACGACTATTGCTTTAAATTAGTATAACAGTTGGATATGGTTTTGGGAGTTTCAGTATAAGCAATAATTTGATACATGCCTTCAATTGCGTTAGCCTGCTAAGGTGAGTTCTCCTCTCTCTGCGCTTTTTCTAGGCCCAATTGCTGTTTCCTCGTCTCCTCACTCTGCTGCCGCCTGCCGCCTGCCTCTGCCGTGTTGTTCTCAACACCAGTTTAAATCAATATAGACTACTGTTTTCTACAAATCTGGCCTTTTTTCGGGTTCGGGCTTATTTAATTTCTGTGATGTCAGATGAGGCCTGGGCTCAGGCTTCAGCTCACCGAGCTTGGGTCGGACCGGAATCACATTTTCAGTTCTGATGAGAATTCTAAACTGCATTTGGGTCTCGTGTGCAGTCCGGCAGTGTCAATTATGCGTGTGCTTTGAATTTATGGCGACTTTGTGTGAAGTAAATGCACTAGGCTAAAGGTTTCCATGCGACAACCTGTTTGGGTAATGTGCTATTTTATTTTTTGCCAATCTGCTGCTGCACATGTTGTGTATTTTGTGGAATTGCATTAGCGCTACATTGGGGAAACAATTATTTTTGGGGGGGAATGTGAAGAGTGGTCCTGGGACAGTCCGGTGTCAATCCCTAGCTACCGGTATGCTAGCTTTCCACTAGCTAGCATCTAACAGCAGGAGAAACAAAAAACAGTGTTGCGAATTGGGCACAGAGCCGCGAGAAGGTTCTAGCAAGTGTATCCCGCTGTCCTTTGACTGTTGATGGATGTGGATGTCCGGTTCAGGTCCCAGGCTCCCAATAACTGTCATGATGTACAAGTTCATTGCAATTTGCTTTTTAGTGCCATCTGTTCAGTATCTGATAGAGCAGACCCAGGACGGTCCATTTACTCTGTTCTGGTACGAAATCCTGCAATCTCATTGCTGCAGTCCCCCCTCCCCCCAATAGCAAGCAATGTAATAGCTGGCAATGCAATCCAAGTGCTGGGCGGCAGGCCGAACACCCATAGCTGCTAATGACAGAACAGTAGGTAACTGAACAGCTTGTTTTGAACAATATATTTTTGAAACAGTAAAATGTACACAAATTAACCACACTTTTATGGACATTTTAAACATAATCCTTGAATTCTATAATATGTATTTTGTTGAATAAAAAACATCACAAGTAGGGCACCGCCCCTAATGCCCTAATGGACGGGCCACCACTGACACAGAGGTTAATGTGAGAACATGACTCACTGGCTACTGCCATTGAAACTGAAAGCTAGAGGGGAGGGCCAGGCAGTCATGGTCAACAGACTCTCACAGGTGCATCCTGAACTAGAACCACACAACATCAGTATACAGACTAACAGTATAGGTGTTAGAGAGCCCAACTGGACTCACTGATATGAGTGACAACACAGCACCACTCACTGGCCAAGGCCAGCAACTACAAGCTTAAAGCAGAATAGAAACCAATAGGAATTCACATTCCTTATTTATTTTTTTACAATACAAAATATACACATACACATACAAATGACAACTTCACACAAATATCAACTTCATCACACCTTCCCAGACCCACATGCTCACACCCCCAACTCCAGCTCCTTCATCACTCTCCGCCACATTGCCTAAAACGGCACCATTTTGTTTCCCTCAATATTTAGATAATAAAGCACTTGCACATCCACACTGGTTTCCATTGTGCAAGATTTTTAAATCTCCACACCTCCCTAACGTGTTCAGGGATATTATAGGAGAGGCGTGTGACACGGAGTATGCCACTGTTATGTCCTTAAAACTCCACAAATCACACACACACACACACACACACACACACAGTATGGGGCTTGAGAATGTACCATGTCAGGTCAATGCCTTTTCCTTCCTCTCATCTTATCTACTTTACCGCATTTCCCCAAATCAAAGTTCCGATATAGGGAAGTCTGATTGCGTTACATTTTCAAAAGTTAATTGTTGCTCCAGGCATCGAGATTAAACATCGCAGTGATGTGAAATAGTTGGACTCTGATGAACAAAGTGTTTCTCCTCCAATTTGTTACTATGGCAGATGAGCCGATTATAGCTGATGTAAATATTAAAGATGCTATGGCAGATTAGATACCCTGCGGCTGCTGAATCTAGATCTGGTTGGCTGCTGGGTCTTTTCAAACTGCCAACCATTGGCTTCAGTACGCACAGAAAGGCGCACAAAGGAAACAATTGAACAATTTGGGGAGTTTAGTAGATGCTGATAATTGGTGGGAAAGTGTATGTCTGTCTGTCTGTGGTGTAGTCTGGGAGGATACCATTTGGTTGTTCTGTAGATTTGGATGCAGTGTGTGTGTGTGTGTGTGAGCTTAGTGACTGTGTACTGATGTGAGAAGATTATGCAGTGTGATCCACGTGTGTTCAGACGTGAGTCACCATTCAATATGTATGACCGTTTCTGTCATTCCAGCACACTGGTGATCTTTATATCTCACATATTAAATAAATCTGTCCATTAAATTGACATTTCAGTTTCCATAGAACTTCATCAGGTTTTGTCTGTCTGTCTGTGTGTTCTCCAGGCAGAGGGAGAGGACAGCCTGAAGAGGATGCAGCTGATGGAGCTGGCCATCCTCAACGGCACCTACCGAGACGCCAACATCAAGTCACGTAAGGATGACATCACCGCTCCCCCTCCCTCTCCCTGGGGGGGTAAGGGGGGTAGGCTCTGACTGACACAGTAGAACAGCCCTTTGTGTGTCCGGGAACTCATGGGTGTAATTCAAACTGCTCCTTTTCTCTCACAACAAGTGAGGAGTGTTGTGTGGTGCCATGCACAGTGGCTGAACTGAACAGAGGGTGCTTTTGGCTTGTCACATTCAGCATTCACCTCAGTGCATTTTCCTATTGGGTGGCACTCGGTCGAGTCGAGTTCTTTGAAGGAGGAAGAGAGGAGGTCTGGCTCTGACTGGGCGTCCATTTTATGTCGCTGAGGGAAATGCGTGCGTCATTCCAATCACATGGTGTTTGTCCTAAACAAATCCCAGCCAGCACTGCTGTGGCAGATTCTAAATCAGTACTAGACATGAATGGAGGCAAGCCTTGAATACCTCTCTCACATAGTGCTAAATGCTGTGTAGTGGAAGCTAAGGCCAGTGTGTCGAACAGTTTGCTTATGTAGCCTGTCCTATTCCTGACTTATCTGATATGCTTTGAGTGTGTCCTATGATATGTGTGATAGATGCTAACTTGTGTTTTCTCCTCCTTTTTCTCCCTACCTCCCTTCTCCTCCTCCTGTGTTTTCCCGCTCACTCCAGCTGCCCTTGCCTTCTCTTTTGCAGCGAACGCCCAGGCGCCCCGTATCATCACTGGCCCCGCCCCCATGCCCCAGAACGCCCTGCGCACACCTACACCGGCCGGCCCCACCCTAATGCCCCTGATCCGACAGATCCAGACCTGCATGCCCAACGGCTCGCCCCACCCGGGTGTCATGACCCAGGGTCCCGAGTCGGGCCTCATATACGCGTCGCCCTACGATTACCCCTACACGCTGGCCCCTGCCACCTCCATTCTGGAGTACCCCATCGACTCCAGCGGGGTGTTAGGTAAGCATGCGTGCCCCTGCGATTGCCCCGCAGCCCCCCACCAACAACACCACCACCACATCCAGTGGAACCCAGCCCCCATGCTGATCCTGCGCCACACCTCCTAAATACCCCCCCCCCACCCCCCCACCCCACCCCCACCCCCACCCCCACCCCCCTTTACTACATCTTTCTTTTCACTATCATGAGACACTTCTCTCATCTAAAAAGCCCTTTAAGTAATGTGTGCATAAATGAACAGGCAGTTAAGTGCTCAACTGGCTCTATGTGAATTACAAGAGGGAGCTGTTTTATTTGGGAAAAGGTCCTTACCATCCTCTCTCCCAGTCCCCGCATACACACGCAGCCCTATAGCTTTGAAAGAGCCACTTTAGAAAATAAGATTAGAAATAGCATATTACCAACACAACGTGACTCCATTAAGAATGCACCCAAAGGCACAGTGTAAACCTGAACTGCTATCAATGCATCAAAATGCCAACAGCAGCTTGTCCAATTGGGTTGAGCACATTCTAGATAGCCAGTCTGTATCGTGTCAGCCAGTAGCCGCCAGCTTTCTGCCCAGTGCAGTTGACCAAGCCTCCAACTGTGTGTCTGGGTGAAGGGAGAGGGGGGGGTGAGTGGGGGTGTTACTGTGAGGGGGGGGGGGGGTCGAGGAGCGGCGGAGCCCAGCGAAGATTTCACCCTGTCTCTCTCTCTTGTGTAACCTATACAGCGTCCTCAAAGGCCGAAGAGCTGCCCCTCTACCTTGGGTTTCAGACCTGTCACTTTCCCATCACTGTGCAGCGAGGAGAGCCCTCCAACCGGCCTCCCTTTTAAAGAAACACCCCCTTCCCTCCCTCCTTCCCTCCATCCCCTCACACAACACACACCCACCTCCTCCTCCCCCCACCCTCCCTCCCCGCCACCACACGTTGGACTGGTCGAGGATCGGCCCTCTCTGAACAACCACAAGCCACATGGGGAAGCCTCGGCCCTTCCTCTTTTAATGTCTGTTCAAAGTGACTTGTGTGTTACTGATCAACCCTTTTTGATTTCCTGTCCTGATGATGATGATATATCTGTGTATGATGATGAGGGAGAAAAAGCACTGAGCCCCACACTGCTGGAGACCCCCCTTGGCCCCCCCCCCCCCCTCACCCTCTCTCTTGGGTGTGGCTCTGGGGCGTCTGGAGGGGTAACATGAGGATGGTGAGGGGTCAGCGGGGGTCGAGATGGAGGGGTTACGGAGCCAAGGGAGTGGTGTGTTGGCGACAAGGCACCTGCAGTTAAAGCATCTACTGTAGGCTTGACAGGCTTTATTCACAAAGTGATTTTAGGACTTTCTGTCCCCACACTGACAGTCTTTACTTCACTCTTATCATAATCTTCAGAGAATGATTATTTCACTCAAAACAACAGTCAGAGAGTGAACAACATGGCCCTTTTTTTATATAACGCTTTTTTGTATAGACTCAAACGGAATGTCCTAAAATGGCTTTGGGAATAGGGCCTGGTGTGTGTTGCTTCTCAAAGGACCTCCAGACACTCCTGGCACTAATTCCCCGTTCCCTTCCTTTATTCTATAGGTGTGGCTTTCCCCACGAAAGGCTAAAAGAGTTTCATGGATCCTTACTGAGCCCCTCATCCGATCTGAGTTTTAACACATATGCGCTTCTGTTTCACAGCGGCCTGTTAATATAATGAACCATGAGCCAGGCCTATAGCAGACAGACAGACATATAGAAAGACAGACAGACTCCCTCACTACTGATGTTTACACTGGCCAAACCTCCCCAAAGAGGCACAGCTCTTTATACCATGCATTATGTGGATGTGGATGTGCATCCTGTAAACACACATCCACACATGTATATGTTCACATAACTATACAACTGTTTCACTGACTGTTATGTCTGGGTTTGAAAATCTACACAATACTGTCTCGCTTTACTAATCACTTAATTAATTGCCTTTAAAAAAAAAAAAATAGGAGATGTTAATTTTTTATTACTGCATATGTGCCTAAAAGCTTTCATCTCTGGGCTTTGACCAGGGAGTGAGTGATCAGTATTATATTTAAAACGAATAACTGGAGAGATGCACTTCCTGATGCTCAACCTGAGATTATGTGACTAGTAAAGCTCCCCTCTGTGTGTGCGTGTGTGTGCATACATAAATGCCTAATGTCTGTGAATCTGTAGCAAGGACTCAAGTAAACATGGATCCTTACAGTCAAGGTTACTCCATAGTCACGGATGCTACTAAGTCCAATATTTCTCCTTGTTACAACAAAGTATATGAGTATAATTTGTGCCTTAACATGTATTTCTAATGATTTTTCATAATTTTGTTAGATGTTTGGTCATATATAAACCCTGATGATATGATGAATTGAATTGATGGAAAAGGTGAAGGATGAAATTACCTAATCCTTGTTTTGGTCATGTTGTTGCAATCCGAGCAGGTGCAGTGACTGCTAAAGTTCGAAGGCACGAACTGCGGGTCCATCCTTACCAAAGGATAGTGACCGCAGACAGAGGTTAGTTTAGCTCCTATGCTTTTGTGTTTTATTGCCAATGCCTGCTCACTGTTGGTCCTGATCTGTTTTGCAATATGCACAAATTGTTAAGATAGTTGTCCCAGTTTGTGATGTGATGCAACATACTGCACCCCCTTCTTTGTCTTGGCCTCTGAAAACATTTATTTAGGTGATTCTGAAGAATAGTGACCACAACACAGTAGGGTAATGATGCTTTCACTATCTAGGTAGAGACACAAACACACACACCTGCATTTATAAAACAAACTACTCCACTCCATTATTTCGATGACTTTATGGATCTGACATGATGTTGATGACAAATAATGGACTATACCCCTTCTAAAAGAAAGAAGATACAATTATCTGTGTTTTAGTTTCCGCCTCTGTTGAACGAGAAGGTTGCAATTTTATGCACTTAAGTCTTCAACTCTTTATTAAGTGGATAATGTAACATTATAATTGATCAAGTATGTCCATTTGTATTTATTTGTTTGCGGAAATTACTTTTGAGAATCTGACCCATTTTATTGTCAAAGACAACACAAAAGTGGGTGTAAACCTGTCATGTCATATTTGTTTTTTCACTGTCTAATTGGACTGCAGTAGCTTCCCATTTTTAATACAGTAATTTGGATACAAAATGAAATTGTTTATTTAGTGTCAAAAGTCTCAACAACGGCCTTATGAGTAGAGAGGGATGGACACATGGTTGGCTTTAGACTGGAAATAGCTTATTCTGCAGATAGGGGAAAAAAACACAACTGCCAAACGTTTTACTCTCTAAAGTCTACACATTTCCTGCCCTCTTTTTTTAAGTCCATGCAGAACTTTTACTACTCCCACTGAATATTGAGAATAATTGAGGAGGTTATTTGAGAAGAAACCATTTGTGAAGTTCCACAGGCAACTAGGAATTTGCAGGATCTGTAGTCTACAGTGTCTTCTCTTCTTCATCCTTAGACCTCAGTGTGCCTTGTACAGACACACACTGTGTATCATCACATTTACATTTCATTACAGATAATGACTTGTACCCAATCAAGTAAACGGCTGCAATGTGCCAGGAAATTTGATGCCAATGCCAATTGAAAACAGATGACAAGCAGTATATTTATCAATAAGCCTACATTTTAGTGCATACGTTGAAGTAAAAAAATCCAGTGAAATTAAATGTTCAATAACCAATTAATGAATCACCTTTTTTGCTGCTAAATGATGTGGAACAATTAAAGGGATAGTTCACGCAAATTACAAAATAACATTGGTTTCCTGGAAGCAGTCGGACAACACATGCTTTGGTTTAGTTTCCCTGGCACTGTTTCCACAGTAATCCATTTTGTAATTTGGGTGAACTATCCCTTTAACATATAGCACTGTATGTTCATCATGTACAGTCATAGTGTCGCACTTTATACGTTGTTGGACATTGCTTGAATCCTTATACTCTTAAAAAGAAAACATATTTATGACTATCATCAACATTATCCATCACAGAAATCAGTCCAATTCAGTGATATTCTTTACAAAAAAAAGTTCAGATACACACAGTATATTATACTAACTGTATCTAAGGATATTCAGATTTCACTGTAGATCAGACTGTGAATTGCCGCTGAAAACATTACAGGCCAAATCTGCCCTAAAACAAATAAGTAATGTAAAAAATAACTGTAATATGGAGTTACTTAAGAAGTGCATATTATTACTAAAAGGTCAAACCTTAATCCATAATAAAAAATATGATAATGGTAACAGATAGGTAACACTGACAAAATTAATGAGAAACCAACATCAGATGAAATTGCACAAAGGCCTGTATTCAATCAACCTCTTCATAGGTTTGGGCCCATACTCTGATTAACAGTTTTACACCATTAAAAGTTTGGTCAACACTTTATCCAAACATTACGGTAATACAGTGTAATATGATTGACATTTGTGTATCAGTGCGGTTTGGGGGTTGAACCATGAGGCAGGTGGATTGAGTGCAGGCCAACCAGTCAAACCTGTGTATTAGAGGCAGGGTGTCTCTGATGGAGGCAGGGGAGGAAGCAGGTGTAAAATGGCGTCTGAAATGTGGGCCTCTTTATCAGCTCATATTGGCAAAGATGTTGAACAGTCTCAATATAGTATCAAATAAGTACATTCATTGGGTCTAGAGATTTATACAGTATATTCTGATTTAGATTTCCCTCTGGATATTTTACACTGCATTTGAAAGTGTTTACAACAGCTCTCAACGATACACAGTTTTCTCAAACTCTTAGTACAGTAAGATTAACAGTCTCTTGTCAATCTGGTAAAGAAGTCACACCTTTCTTCTTTCTTTACATCTGTTGAATTTTGCTTCATTTGAAAAGAGAGACTACGGCACAAATCTTATTTTGCACTGAATGATTTTAAAAAGTAAAAAGCATTTTTCATCTCCTCTGCTCCAGTCAGAAGGGCAGACATGTTTAAAAAGTGAAAACTACGACAAACCTCAGATGATGAAATGAAATGAGTAAATTAATACATGTATGATCTAAGCTGAAGAAGTCTTAAACGGACCACTGTGGAGTGGACAGAGAATTCTAGGGTCCACTTTATGGATGAGAAATTGCCAGAGTATGAATGCATTTATGGAAAAAAAATCCACTTGAGACATTTGTTTTATGTTTTACTATAAGCTTCTTTTTATTTTTTGTTGTTGCAAAGAAAATAGTATATACTTGTGGCTTCTTGAAATATATATATAAATATATATATATATATTAAAAATATAAAGCAGGAATGTATATGAAATGTCAGATTTTACTTGTATTTTGCAAAGAAATAGCACAGATTATTCTAGAGGGCTATTTGTAGGAAAGACAAATATGCATCATAGCAGCTTTATAGCACCACTTTAGAAAATGTCCTATATTTTTGAATATATTTTAGGGCTTTTTACAAAAGACAGGACCTTTTCAGAGTTTATATGCAAGTGCATTTTATATTATGTGTCCTGTGAATTGTTTATTGTCTCCTAAGCTGAGGGTACCGGCTGAAGTGACAGCTTTAGCATGCTCACAGCTTAAACTTCCATGGCTAGTATGCTGTTCTAGAAAATACCATGTAGTGTTGCTTTGTATCATTAAGGCAAAGATTTTCATGTTTGTTGTACATAGAAAACATACTTTAAAAAGGCAATAAAAAATTATATTGAGTAAAAAAACTATACACACTGTTTTGGCCCTAAATTATTTTGTCCACAATGATGTGGTCTTCTTGAATTTCTCATTGTATCCTCTCTAAATTCATTTCTTCTATAACAATAAGACTTATTAATATTCATTTCCATCACTACTAGCCCTTGACTCTTGAACCTCTGAAGGTCTCTAATGACTATTAACAGTCAGTTAGCAATAACTTTACTGACTGTCCAAGAGTATTCCTTCCTCCATCTCATGTTGATCTTTCCCTCTGCCTAGATTTACTGTCTATTCACTTGACTGCTACTAACAATTAGACATACTGTTATTGTCTTATTTACATTTCCTCCTTTTTAACATTTGAGCTAAGGGGGGATGGGGCTGTCGTTCATATTATGTCAAATCATGCTTTCATGATTTTATGACGTTGTATTCAAATAGATGAAGAGTTATTCCTGAACTCTTGGATTCAATCAACCCACCATATGAATTGTCCTGTATCTATACAAACAAAAG